CATCGTGGATGTACACACTTAATGGTGCAAGCGTGTAGCGTATTTTTGAACTGCATATAAGTCAGTCAGTCAGTTGCAACGTAGAACTTCGTACGTATGTACATAAGTTCATGTTGCCATACCACATTAGCACAGAGAGGCAAATGTCAAATCAAATCCCATAGTGATAAAGATAGTAGAGGTATTAATGGTAATGAAGAAGACTAGGGTTTGAAGATATTATTCAAGAAGTATAAATCAGTGAGATAAGGTTAGAAAGACAAAGGTAGAGGTGCTGACGATTCTAGAAGATCAGAATTTGAGAGAGCTCAACGAATGGATACACTTGCGCCATCGCAAACGATTCTGAGCCATGTCGTTCAAGGTCTATAACCATCGATTATTATCATCTCGCGGACCCCAACCAGGTAGTCGACAATTACCGACATGGCTAAGTCCACTCGTCAATGACTTCATGGGTTTGTGCCATGTTTTGGTTTGGCCGCCCCTAATTTCTTCCAACCTACTCCTACACTACAAAACATAGCTCGTCGAGGCAGTCGGTGGTTAGGCATACGCAACACATGTGCCAACCACCTCAACTGATGAAGTTTCACCACTTCATCTATTGATCTGCCATTCTTACCTAGCACCCGTTTCCCAACGACAGCATCGCTTACTCGGTTGTCCCACGGTATATGAGCAATGCTTCTCAAACATCTGTGATCGAATACTAGTAACCTGCGAACATCTACTCTTAACGGCCATGTTTCGCATCCATATAGGAGAAAGGAGCGAACTGCAGCGCAGTACACCCGTCCTGGTCAGCGAACGGATATCTCGCCTAAGCCATAAGTGACGCAGGTTGGCAAAAGCCAATCGAGCCTTCGGTACCCGTACTCAGATTTCGTCAGTCACCAGGCTATCAGCACTGATGAGACTCCCAAGATAAGTGAAGCGGTCTACACGCTCGACTACTTCACTCCCTATCACTAGTTCAGGTGCCGATGCAACCCAATCTTGAAGCAACATTTCGCATTTCGAGGGTGAAAACCGCATCCGGAACATGCTTGCATGGTTGCTTGTGGTAGTCAGAAGACTCCGCATGTTGTCAGTGTTTTCACCGAATAGAACTATGTCATCGTCATATTCTAGATCAGTAAGCGATTTTCCTGGTAGAAAGTCAACCCCTGAAAAATCTGACGAGCTTAATGTTAACTCTAAGTAGATGTCTACGACAAAGTTAAACAAGAATCGAGAGAGTGGACAGCCCTAACGGACACCACTTGAAGTAAAGAATTCCGATGACAGTTCGACATAAGCTCTCACTCGACCAGTGGTGTTCGAGTAGAGAGCTTGTATAAGGTTTATGTACTTCTTTGGTACACCTTTCAATGACAGACACTGCCACAAAACCTCACGATCAACAGAATCAAATGCCGCTTTTAGGTCCAGGAACATGACTATTGTCGGATGTCTAAATGTGTATCTGTGTTCCAGGACCTGTCGTAGTGTGAAGATGTGGTCTATACAACCACGTCCAGGTCGAAAACCAGACTGGTTTTCTCGAGTCTGCTCTTCGCGAGCTCTAGTTAGACGTCTAAGTATAATCTAGGCTAACAATTTAGAAACTATATTAGTTAAACTTATTCCCCTGTGATTGTCACAAGAGGACTTCTGTCCTTTCTTGTAGATTGGGACAATTAGCGACTGAGACCAGTCAGATGGGATTACGTCCATTTCCCAGATTCTACCTAGGATCTCGGTCAGTTTAACCGTTAAAACTGGACCACCATCCTTAAACATCTCAGGGGTAAGCCTATCGGGACCTGCCGCTCTACCTCTCCTTAGATTTCCTATAGCTTTCTCAACTTCATGTAAACTGGGAGGACTTAAATCGATTTGCCATTCAGGATGACTGGAGATCGTGGGCAACCGAAGAGTGGCTCGAGGCCAGTTGAACTGGTCCCTAAAGTGTTCTGCCCATCGATCCAGTCTCCTGGATTGAGAATGGACAGTAAGACCATCCTTTTCCGAGATAGTCTCACTCACTTTCGGGTTCCTAATACCGGTTTCTTTGATAAGGCGGAAAAGTTGTCTACTGTTGCCTATCGCCGCTGCCTTTTCCATTGCTTTTGCTTTCGCCACCCACCACTGTTCGCGGTCGTTACGTAGGCTTTTTACCAGTCTGCGCCTAAGCTGACTACGCTCTTCATCATGTTGAGTCAGGTGGGATGCGTTTTCGAGCATCCATCAGCTCGGTGGATGCGTCTGAAATCCACTTCTTCATCCTAGCCTTATGGTTTACCTTGCTAGCAGATATCACTGCTGTTTCCACAGCCTTCTTGATATCATACCAACTTACCTCTTGATGGGAATCACTTGTATGGTCGCCTAACTGTTTTTCCAGTTCCTCCTGAAATATTTTCTTAGCTTGATTATCATTAAGTAAAGCCCTAAGAGGCTTCCTTGCGGTGTCTTTCCTACGTCCAATAAGCCTCAAACAAATACGCGCTCGCACTAGGGCATGATCTGAATCAAAACATGTGCCCCAGAACGAGTTTTAATGGTGTTAGTGGGACTTAAATTACCAAATGTTACCATAATCTTTCAATCTACCGCCATTTTCGAAACATTACTAGTTTGATAAATTCAATCGTTTTCCACTATGCATGTTGAAGATGAGAAACAAGTAAGCAACGTTTTTTATGATACCTAAGATTCTCTAAATGAAAACTCTGAAAGTTCATGAGATAAATACTGTCCTTTAAGATTGTATAGCATATACATAAAGTTTACAGAGATATAACTGAGCATTCAATTTATTTAATCTCACCATTATCAAACTGTTATGGAAAGAAGTAATATTTCACCGTTAATTTAAATGTTTCAAGTAGAATGCAAAAGTACTTCTACTGCTTATTGTTATACCTAACGTTTGAATTTCACACATAAATTTTAATTCTGGTTGACTAGTTCTCATACTATAATATATTTGCCCATTATTCTCTATTTTATTTTTTGAACAAGTTAATTTTATGAATGATGAACTAGCAACAATTTTATTTCTGTAGTTCTGTTTATTCAACTAATAATAATAATAATAATAATAATAATAACACTATTATTAACAGTGACATATGGACAACTATGTGAGTACAGTAGACAGCTGTTTAATCATAAAACCCTATTCACAATAAATGAAGCTTATAGTTTATTGCATACAAATGGATCTGCTTTTTTTCCCATGAAACTTTATATATTTGGGCTGATTAGTTACACAGACAGATGTAAAAGATAATCTTATTAATTTAATTTTCTGTTTAGATACAAATGAAATTTTTAACAATTATTCGTATTCTACTCATTCATTATGATCTGTAAGTAGTTGTAGTTGACTAGACAATTTTTAATTAATTTGAATTGTTACAAAAATTGAATCTTAACAAAATCGGTGGGAAGATTTCATGCCTTTTTTAGGCTTATACAACATAATTAAAAACAAAACAGTTAGTATCTAGATGTACCCTAGAATGAGTGATAAGAACAATCTAGGAGAGAGGGTCAAATTAAATTTTCAAAAACATAATTGATTCAAAAGTAAATTTACATATTCTCAAAACAAATATTTGAATTTCGCTAACATATATCGATCAAAATAAAAAAAATAGAAATTGAGATCATTAAAATCAAATTGAAATCAGTGCACCATGATCCTTTGAAAAAGATGAATATTGGAACATTTCAAAAAAAATTACACTTAAACAAATTAATGTGTAAGTAAATTTATTTTTTCGCATATGTGAAAGATTTTATTAATACCATGAAATTTGCTGTGTTTTAAAGTGAAACTAACTTATATTCGATTAAGAGGAGTATTATTGTTTGAATAGTACATACATAAGGAATCGGTGAACTGAAGTTTTTAAGTATTGTTGCATTAATAATTTAAACTGAGGTTGTGTGATGAATTATGGTTCCTAAATAACATAAATTAATGAGAACAACCCTAAGTAGTGCAAAGAATATGACTTTATCATTTCTGATTAATGCACCTAATAAACTAAACCAACAACTTGTAAATGTAAGCAAAGCATTAGATATTTTCAATTAGAGTTATGGAGAATAGTGTTTTTTTACACATTTGAAATCATCAATCAATCACTGTTAGACCACCATTAGAAACCGGGATGCACTGGACGACCGTTTCGTCCTGGTATGGGACTCATCAGCAGTGAGCATCAACGACTCCTGCATCTCGTAGGATTCGAACCCGGGACCTTCGGTCTTGTACACGAACGCCCAAACTCTGGACCACTGGGCCGGCATCCTACAGTGTTAATGTCTAACTCTGATTTATCTAGGGATTTAGCGTGACCTCACCCATTTGCCTTTGGAAGTTACCGCCTACATCCGACAGGGTGAGGTCGTCCAGTGCTTCCAGGTTTCTAATGGTGGTCTAACAATGTTCGATTGATGATTCCAAATGTGTAAAAAAAGCATTAGATCTTCAAAATTACAAATTTATCCCTATTGCTCGTAATTTATCCACTTGTACATCATCATGGTTTAATCATAAACCAAGTGGAAAATCTAGTCAAAAAACTAAACATTTATAGTGATATCATTTAATGATAAACAGTGTATAGTGTGAAATGATTATGCAACGACCTAAACTGTTACATTACATGGTACTATCAAGCGATTCGACATTTCACCACTGGAGAAAAAATGATCAAAAGGTGAGATATTATCCATAGGATAAATGTGCAGTGACTTTTTCAACAAAACTATTCATGATAACGTTTAGGCATTTTTGATTGTGTGAATGGTAAAATTTTACATTAATGCTAATAAAACTGTCACCGATAACACCAGTTGCAACGAGTAGTAACTCAGCAGAAAATTTGCAAATTCTGTGTACGGTAACAGGTTTTATATAGAGTATTTTGAAGTATAGAAGTAATAAATTGTTTGAATTAATTATTGGATGATATATACATATATATACAAAAACTAACCTTTCAACGTTTTGACAGCAACCTCAATATTATTAGAATTGCTTTCGTCATCAGAATTAATGCATAGTTTCCCTTTGTAGACAATTCCGTAATTACCCTCACCAAGGAGATTTTCTAATTTAAAAGAAGACCTCGGTATATACGTTTTGGGATTAGTATTCAAATACTGATATAACCATTGTAACAACATTACGTTACAGTAAAGAATGTTGTGGTTTTTTGAAAAATATTTTGATTGTTGACAGAACAATCTTTGTGAAAATGACATTAGTATATCTGTTATCTGAAGTTTTGTATCGTTATCGAAGTTACTGATGTTAGAAGAAGTAGATCGAGAATACATAGTACAAGGTGATAATGGAGATGATGATGGAGACGACGATGTAGAGGAGGCAGAATGATGCAGTAGTAATTTATGTGTTGGGGTTGTATATAGTAAATTCATTTTGGAGAAAACATCTCTACGTTTTGATTTTGCATGCTTATCCAAAAAATCAATAGGTATAGAGAGCACAGTGTGCATTGACTTTCGCCTAACTCGTATACAATATATTAATGATAGAGGAATAATTGAAATTGTTATAAATATAATTATCCAAATAAGAATTGGTGGAAGGAATCTAAGGATAAAATCTGTTGTGAAATAATGATAAAAAATAAAGTTTAAGTAAAAAGAACATCAAGCAACTGATTATGTTAAGTAATCTTAGAACAAAATGATGATATCTAATAATTTGATTAAAATAGTTAGAACGGTCTAAACAAATGAATGAGAATAGATAATGTCAATAATGAATTTCAGGACATTATAAAAGTGTATTTTCCGAACTGTCAAATAACCACTTAAAAATTTAGTAGTAGTTTGTTTGGGATGAAATGTTAATTTTTTTCGCTTTCGAAATGTAAAAGGCATTCGTAAAAAAAGGATACATAGTAAGCAATAATACTTCTTTTCATTATAGGGTTATGGAGATTGTTTAATTTCATTGAAAGCATGAATCGATCAGTCTTAGACCACCGTTAGAAACCTGCAAGCACTGGGCTGCTGTTTCGCACTAATATGGGACTAATCAGCAGCGCGCGTCCACGACCTCCGCCCTTCGGGAATCGAACCCACGACGTCCAGTCTTGGATGATGTTAAAACAGTAGTAAATCATAAAACTGGAGTCATTTTCATTTACTACCACCGATCAAGGAAGCATATCATCCTATATAGTTACAGATGTTGATTAAATCTTATCGATCATTTGTTAATATGACCACTACTCCAAGCGATTCAGCATATTGGTGTACTATGTGGTATTATTATTATTATCAATACTATTACTATTACCACGACTACTACTACTCCCACTATTATTATTATTGTTATTACTATTATTAATGACTCTGTTCAATATTACAAGTTCAGGATAATATGGAATTCTCAACACGGTGAACAAGGATGTTAGATCTTGATGAACAGTTTAGAATTTTCTCATCAATACGACCTAAAAATATGGTAGAACTTTATGTATTATGCAATTAAATCTCAAAGTTAACATTTTTCAATGCACTGTATCGATTACAATCAGATTGACCTCCCAGAACTAAACAATAACCAGGTGGTTTTCTAAACTTTTATTACTTTGACTACTTGCAAGTAGTTAGTCGTATTTCGTTCAATAATCTGCCATGTAACATTGAAAAGACTGAAAGAGACTATGCAACAAACAACTAGATACGATAACAACGTATTATTAGGTTTGAGTTAACAATGGCCTTCAAAGCAACCTCTTGAAATTGTTAATCAAGCTTAGATTGGATTTTTAATTAATCGACTGGTATGTGCGCATCATAAACAGTATCAAGCCGTTGACGGACTTACACTACAAATCGAAATCTAGCCAGTGTTTTACAATCACAAATAACTAACTACTTCAGTTCACTAATAAAGACTGAAAAATATCTATTAAAAAGGTAAAGTGTTGAGTATCCAGACGGAAACGCTGGGATTTTTCAACACTTTAAAGTTTAAGAATGGTGATGGAAACATGAACAATGATGCTGTAAAAACAAGTTTTTGGATAAATGAATGTTTCATACTAAAATATGCAAGGCTAACAATCCATACTGAGAATAATCCTGAGCAGTTCTTATTGTAACATAATAAACACAAAGCAATAAAAATAGACCTATCTTACAGGATCAAATCATCACTTTATTTACGTATGAAACAGTCACCTGTGATAGAGTATAATTTTTAATGAATGACACTAGGGTGTAGTATTATAAACTAACAAAAAAATCACACCACGTCATTGTCTCTACTTTTCTAGTCTTATTGGAGGTATTTACACAAAGCACGTCCCAGCATGATCTAGTGCACTTTAAATTACAAACTAATAGGCATGCAGAGCAAGAAAAAAAATGCTCATGGACATGTGATTGCTATCCTAGAGCAAGGACATTTTGGACTGACTTGTAATTTAACCTTCGTTTTAGGTAAATTGACCACCATTTGTACTAGACAAAAATTATCTTCAGGCCCTACTTTGAACACAATGTAATTTGTAACATGTTTGAACAGACTACCCCAGTTCTCGCCTACTGATGGAATGATATATGTTAAAAGCTTAAGTAAAAACGCCCCCGCACCAAGACAACACATCCCAAACATAAAATTAGATGATCACTGAGTAAATCATTTAAATTTATGAAGTACTAACACTAAGAGCGTTAGACAAACACATATCAGACTTGTCATGTGAGCACCACAATGATTTGAAGATCAAATAGTAGGTTGACGAGCCTGGGGTCATTTGCCTTAACAGCCTACGTTCGCAAAAAAAAACCTGTTTGATCGTGTAAATGACCTAAGCTTTTCCAATACCAACACACTAAAGCTTGGGGAATTCATGCAAACAGTGAATGCACAGATAATATGAGTTATTCTAGCATTACTATGCTACAATTATGTCTTGTCAATAGCTATGAAGTGAAATATATTAGATGGAATTGGTAAAATGAATCTGTCTTCGCCGCGCCAAACACTAATTACCTAGGATTATTTTCATAACTAGTTATTAACTTTGCCACGCATGGCTAAAAACAATAAGTTTGTCAAATGAATTCGACGGAGAATATCAAGTATTAGTCTATAAATGTACATAAACTTCACCAGTTTATTATTTACTGTTCTTTTCATGGGCTGCGACATTCTAATAAGGTAATTGGTGAAACTCTTTGAAGGACTAATATAGATTAAGCTACGTTAATTTTGAGCAAGCAAACTCAAACAAGTTTCTGCAACACATCTGGCAGTCAACAGCTTAAAAGTCTACCACTAATTACATCCAAATCAGTTAGATAGAACGTAGAACATGGTACATACATACATCAGCCGAGTTACCGGACCACATCAGCATAGAGAAATGAAATTGTCAGTTCAAATCCTACAGTAGTAGACGTTGTAACAGTATTAGCGGCAGTGGGAAAGACTAGGGACAAAAGATGTGATTCAAGAAGCATAAGCCAGTGAAGTAAATTTGAAAAGCGAAGAAAACTTATGAGGAATTCAGAAGATTAGAATTTTAGAGAAGACAAAGAAATGATGCATCTGCGCCATAGCAAATAATTTTGAGCTATTCCATTCAAAGTCTCTAACCACCGGTTACTAGCGCCTCGTGAACCCCAACCAGGTAGTCTACACCTACTAACGTGGCTCAGTTCAGTTGTCAATGACTTCAAAGATTTGGTACCATATTCTGGTTTGACCACTCCTAACTTTCTTCCAACCTACTCCTACATCACATAACATCGCCCGTCCAGGCGGTGGGTGGTTGGACGTACGTAACTCATGTTCCAACTACCTCAACTGACGGAGATTCACTATTTTATCAATCAATCTACCATCCTTACCTAGTACCCGTCTCCTAACAGCAGCATTGCTTACTCGATCGTTTCAGGATATACGAGCCATGCTTTGAAAACACCGATGATCGAATACTGGTAACCTACGAATATCTTCTATTCATACCGGCCATTTTTCGCATCCATATAGTAGAATGGAGCGAACTACTGCACGGTACACTCGGCCTTTGGTTGACAAACGGATATCTCGCCTACGCCATAAATGACGTAAATTGACAAAAGCCAGTCGAGCCTTCTGTATCCGTATTGAGATTTCGTCCGTCACCAGGTCATAAGGTCCCCAGATGAGTGAAGTAGTCAACACGCTCAAGTGCTTCACTCCATATCACCAGTTCAGGTGCCGATGCAACCCAGTCTTGAAGCAATGTTTTGCATTTCGAGGGGGGAAACCGCATTCCAAACATGCTTGCATTGTTGCTTAGAGTGGTCAAAAGACTCTGCATTTTGTCAGCGTCTTCATCAAACAGAACTATGTCTTTGGCATATTCTAAGTCAGCAAGTGAATCTGCCAGTGAAATTTTAACTCCCTAAAAGTCAAACGATGAAAGTGTTATATCTAAAAGCATATCGACGATGAAGTTAATTAAGAATAGGGAAGGCAGGCAACTCTGACGATCCTAGCTAACATCTCAGTCTGTCTAACTCCTAAAAATGGACTATCATCCTTAAAGATCCCAGGGGTTAATCTATCAGGGTCTGCTGCTCTCCCAAGCCTTAGATTTACTAGAGCATTTTAAACTCATTAAGAGCTGGAGGACGTACGTTAACTTGCCATTAAAGTTGATGACGGCCGTGGGTAACCAGAGTGTGGCTGAAGGCCATTTGAACTGCTCCCTAGTGTTCTGCCCATTTATCCAATCTCCTTAACTGAGAAAGAATAAATAGCCCCATCTTTTTCCGAGTCTCTCTGAGAGTCGGATTTATAATATTAGTTTCCCTGATAGGTTTTAGCAGTTGTTTACTGTAACTTATCGCTAGTGTCCTTTCCATCTCTTTTGCTTTCACTATTCTCTACTGTGAGGTCAAATGAATGACCCTACTCGAAACCTGCATACACGTTTCGTAGACGCAGCATACACCAATGGCGCGAGATTCTACAGTCCTAGCTAAAGAAGCATGTTGCGCTATTTGGCACAAGGTCAGAACATTAAAAGCTCCAACAGGTAGGTAAAGTGTGGTTTCAGGAGACAAGGAATAACGTTTTGTACATTCAAATCGTTAGCATTAAAAGCGCGAGGTGATAAACGTATGTGAGAAGAGTTAATTGTGAAGATAAGAGAGTTACTAAGAGGTGTAGGAAGGATTTGATTGTGAGAAAGTTGATCTTTTGAGCTTTTAAATGAGTTTGAGGGTGGATGTCACTTCTAGGTTTTCCATACGGTTGAAGGGTATTTCTTGAGGGATCTGAAAATGGTCCTATGTGGAATATACATAAGGTATTATGACTTCATGAAGTGCGGGCTAGGTTTTGTTTTGGATGGAGTTAATCACATCCACTGTCTATCAAATCAATAAAGTCGAAATTTCAGAATAAGAGATTACGACTGAGTTCTAAAACAGTTTGTTAGGAAAATATAGATCTAAAAAATGTTCATTAGCATTTCAAAACCAACAATAACACAATACAGTGGTTTCGGTACACGAACACATCTCGTCTTATTGCAAACTACTAGCATTGTTTAGGCCAACCATTCTTCTTCAACTCCTCACTTGATAGCGTTCTCTAAGCAGTTCCGAAACAAAAGAAAATGTGAGAGGGAATCCGTAACAAGTAGGGAAATTTCCTCGTTATTGTCCTACTGTGCATTAACACACATCCTATTCACATAACATTTGATAAGTCCACAATCAACATTCGTATACAAAAGCTTTCCACCAAGTAGATATGAATTAATTCTATGCAATCAGAAGTCTCAGATAATTATCACATGTCTAAAATTGTTATGAAGTGTTTTTATCTGAATAAATTGAATGTGGATGATGAGACATGAATAATTAAATAATGCTAATCTGAAATGTGTTCGTAAGTTGACTTTATTTCTGCTGTCTCAAGAATACCTTGAAATGGTCTCACATATCACATGACTTGACAATTCTGATCTTATTGAACACTGTTACAGAACAAAGTTGTTCTTCTAAAAAGTAAAATGTATTTCCAAAAACTTAACAAACCTTGTTTCGAGATGGTGGAGAAAATTTGTTTTAAGAGAACAAGAACAAAGATAATGGAGGGAACTACATGTATGAAACCTATCATAGTTGTTCTTTTATTTGAAATGATTTCCTCAAAAACCTAGTTTGTTATTATTGTTGTAATTTTAATTTGCCTCCTCCTTCCTGGTGTCCTAACTTTACCAGGTCATAAGGTTGGAAATATACTGACGAATTAAAGTTGTTTCAATAAAACGTTCTAATCTACCATTGCATTGTTTGTTGCTTATTAAATAAATCTATACAACAGAGGTATTTAAATTTACTGAGTTTTTTCAAATAAAATAACCCAGTAAAGCTTAAAAAATAATTATCAGTTTCAAACTTTCCTGAGTATGAAACAGAATAAAATTCATTAAACCATAAGTAACAAAGCATTTGGTAAATTTACTCGATATATTCTTATCTATCTGGTAACTAGCAGATTAATTAAAACCGTGCACTACAGTATATATCAAACTAAATAAATTAGATTGTGGAAAATTTGTTAACAGAGTGATCTTATTTTCATTAGATTGACAGCAAAATTGTTAAGTTTCATAAAAATATTAGTCATTTGCTGTCGTAAATGTAAACTACAAGTACAAAGAAAGGTTGGGATTCATGAACAATCAATTTTTCTGAACTGATAACAAAAACACATTAACTAATCTATTATCTCATCTCATAGCCAACTGAACCCACTAGATATACTTATTAGAACAGAACCATGTGCACAGTAAATTGGTCTTAGGTAGTATACCTAACATTTGTATAGAATAGAAAACTAACAAATATTAATCCTGTGAGTGAAAAAGAGGAAATTAATTTATGCAGATAAATTATTAACGATTCTAATTATAGTGAATAAACATATTTGCGTCATCTTGATCGGTTTCAGCTTTGTTGGTTAATCACAGATATTATTTATGTTTTGATTAAATTAGCTAATACCAAAAATTAGTAGGAACCACAAATTGTGTGGTCATAAATCACACAAGTGTCAAACATCCAAACTTGTAAGTGTTGAATTACATATCGTCACTCTTATTGATTTGGATAATTACAATACCTTACTGGTATTTTGTAATGAAGAAATCTAAAGTAAACAGGGACATCTTAGTACTAAGTCAACAGAGTAAGACAAATAATAGTTTAAGGTATTGGTATTGATGACATAACAGATTTAAGTGAGTAGAGCTATGCAGTGTAATTTAGTACACAAAATAAAGGATATATTTTAGACTGTTAATAATTTAAACGAAGCCGATATCTAATTTATGATATGACAACTTTCACAACACACAAACTAAGCTGTATTACACTGAGACAGTGTTTCCAAATAGTAAATAACAATAGTGTTTAATTTAAGTGACCAAATGAGGATATTCATTTCCATAAATAAAAAATGAATACAGTAATCTAGTGGTTATTATTAACAAATGGTTGCAAGTTAACCATATGATCAAAACAGTATAAGAAACGAGATCGACTGAAACTCGAAAGAATGAATCGAAAAAAAATTGTCCGTAAAAATACATGGTCATAGGTTCACTAACACGTTTCCGACTACGTTACATAGTCTTCTATTTATTTACCTTCTATCTATTTACCTTAGATATTTTTGAACCCTATCGTGATGAATGCAGTAGATTAAAGGGAGAATTCGCACAAACACAGTGTACATGTACCTCGGTTGTAGCCATCAATATGAGTTGGGTTTTGTTGAAATATTCATATGAAAATATTATCTAATTTCAATAAGACATCACAGTTTCATCAATTATATTCAAATATATAAAAAAGTGAATACTATAAAAGATAAAAATGAACTCACTTGATTGTGAACAATCCATAACTGCAATTGTAATATTTTTATAAAAGAAATCATTTTTGCATATATACAATCCACTATCACTATGGGACAAATTTTCTAATTTTAATGTAATGCTATTGTCAAATGATACATGACGCTTTTCATTGATTATTAAAGAATCGGATGTTTTCGAGTTCTAAATTTACAAGAAGATGGAAAAAGAAAAAAAAAATACCTAGAATGAAATCTAAAAAAAATGTACTAGCTTTTAAAAAATCAATATTTTTTTCCACATGAAAATAACTGGATGCACTAAGACCTCCATTATCAATAGATCATTCCAGTGATTTACACTTAATCTTGACCTCGTTGATTTAAATATACTGAATTTAGCTGAACAGATGTACAATAAATATCAACCCCACTTATAATAAATCACCGTGTAAATGGACTATTCACTTACTTTAGACATTTAGACCTACTACTATCGTCAAATAAATAAAATGTCTATTTCAGACTAGTACTATCAACGACCAACTGATCTTATATGGAACACTAACGTATCATACATACATCAACGATAGATCCAAGTGTTGACTAAACATCTAGAACATATTTAATGATATTAAGGATTGTGGTACAGTTACTTAGACAGTTGAGTTACAACCATGAGCTGAGCTGAGCTATGCCTCCAGAGCAACAAAACTCCTAATTAGAATCCACTGGTTGAAAAGTTTTTCGTTCAAATGTAATTATTTTTGATGAGCAAGAAAAATAAGGAGAGTAGCTGTTGTAAACCACTAACGAAAACAAATTTAGGTGATAATGAATAAATTACTAACCACGGAAAATGTGAAGCTATTTAATCGTTATCTTAACCTATAATATACTTTTTTGCTATTATTTCATTCAGTATAATTAATTGAAACCTTTGAGTGAAATTTTCTCATTTGATTCAAAAAAACAATAAACCATGTCATAAAAAAACGCAAATTAATTTACTTGTATTTAAAAGACTTAACAACCGTACGACATATATAATGTGTCCATGCAAACATTGGAGACACTGCAGGGACCATGAATTTATACTGATAATCAAGTTTATTTGATATAATGTCACTAGATAATTTAAGAAAAAACTAATAATGTGCTTGAGTGTGAGCATTTCGTCGCGTAAAATTATTCCGTTCAAAATTAGATTAGAAAAAACATAATTCAGTGTTTTATCTACAGTTTTGGTTTACACCAACTACGATTTATGTGAATAGTGATATACATCAGTGAACGAAAAATAGGAATGCAGTAGTCGCATATTTGATCTCACAAAATAGTTAAAAACTCACTGTCTTTATCAGCGTAACAAACGTCAGTTACTAACAGTGAGAATTTCCAAGTTATAATTTGTAAACACTTCAGCGTGAAATATGATTACAAAATCCTACCACTAAGAGACGATTCCACTAAAGTTTCAAACTGGAACATTTATTGAGTACAAAATTTCCAGACAGTTCAATTAGAGGATGTCCAAACACTTTTCTATCTGGAAGTGATTTCAAGGGATATATCGACAACTCTTGAGACGAAAAATCATTCAAACTTTAAGTAACTTGGCTCGCGTAAATGACATTATTTGATACAGCTCTATAAGTAATAGCGTTTGTAGACCGAAATACTCATAACATCTGTTCTGTTAGGGGTATGAGGGCAGATGTCACTTCCCGGTTGCACACATCGTGTAAGGGTATTTTTCTTGAAGAACCTGAAAATGAAGTTGGGTCAGCATTGATCTTAGAGACCTGGGAGCGTAACTGCGCAGACCAAGGGATAACTGCTTGAGAACCATAGCACACAACCTTGTTGTACCTCACATACATTTGAGTCTGTTCACAACTAATTTTCTTAAGCCCTTTTGAACTTATTTAACACACTGAGTCATTCGTATTGCGATAACTTATCTGCTTCATTATGCTTTTATTATCGTCGTGCTTGTGTGAGCATCTAGGCTTGAGCATTTGCTTACCACCTATGTGCATATTCATCCTACTCACCTTAATATTAGTCGCTTAAATAATTCGATGACTCATTCATTGTCCTATGTTTATGTATGAAAATTGTTATTCTATTCATTCATTCGATAACTCGCTCATTTGCTTGCTTGCCCTTCGACACTCGCGTATCATTTTGCTTCGTGTGCCTTTGGTTTCGGTAGCCTGTTTGTGGTGCAGCATTTAACGCTTCGTATTCGTCTTCTGATTTGTACACCACTGGGCATTATCTAGTAACGGCTATCAGGACGAGCAGCATACGAAGTATAAGAATATATCGAGTACCGACCTCCACAAAACTGATGAGCACACAACCACCACAGTTTTTAAGGGAAGTTTTGGATGTATCGGTTTCGTAATTCAAAAAGCCATGTCTCCGGAGACAGAAATTCGTTGATGATGTGAGGTATGACACTTGTAGAGTTCACATTTTTCGACCTCATCTTTCCTTTGCGAGAAAACGGGATCGCTGCAGATGTTGGTTAACCGATGGAAACACTTTAATGCCGTTACACACACCTCTATAGTCAGCAGTAAGACTTCGCCCTCAAACCGTAAGTTGCAGCACTTAGTCTTACCATTCTCAAGTCGACCTACCTCGTATGGTAGGACCTAAAAGGATAGGTGTTCTAGCCAGTAAAGCTCGATTGGGTCGTCACGATAGGCAAGTCCGACCACACAGTTAAGGCAGCAGCTACGGTAGGTAAAACAATTCATATCCCAATATGAATCACAGATTTTATACTAAGTCAAACAAGTTGTTTTTTCGTACACTAAGGACGTGGTGAATTGAAGATTTAGCGTTGATTTGAATAGTAAATCGAACTTACTTCCCGATATGTTAGCGCGACTAAAAATACTATAGACTTCCTAAAAGAGGGTAGGTAAAATGGTTTCGTGCATGTGACCAAGTCCTATTTGTTTTAACATTTAGATCACTGAATCACGCGTATTCATGGTAATTAGGGGGATTAAAACTATATTATACGAATAATTGACAAAATAATTCAGAATTAAATAAAGACGTTGAATGAAGTAAATTTACTGAACTCACTTTCAAAAGCCTAGGCTGTTTGTCATACTGACCTAAATACCACACTTCAAGTTGACTTAATGTCCGTGGAATACGACATATCAGATTTACCTCTTTGGATAAACAAGTTACATTATTTAACAAGTAGAATTGAAACTCAGTGTAATTTGTTAAAATGAGCGTTGACAAATCTAAATTCTTTTTGTTTGTTACACTGAACCAATCAGAAGGTACATCATCGTTATTCACATTACCAGAACCAACTTCATTTGGTGAACGTAATTCATCGATTAATTCGAAATTCGGTGCTTCGAACTCTGTATCACTATAGCAAAGGATATTTATAAAGCAAGTTAGAATCATACACGAATGGTAGGTATGTCTAAAGTTAGATACGTAAATTAAACCTGTCTTGGAAGGAAAATACATTTTGTTTCCAGTGTCTGAGATATTCATTGAGTTCATTTATTCTCAAATATCAGAAGTGAATTGAACACGCTACTTGTACTATTCTAGGAAAACTATGCATTATTGTTTGAATAAAACACCAGGAATAGATGGTAAAGTTATCAAAATCTTATAACAAACAGCAAAATGAACAATACACATCAAGATTGCGCCAAAACACCCTAAAAAAACTTTAAACTTCATATGTTAACGAAAATAGCATGACTCACCACTGTACTAAAGAGCTAATTTTAGAAAAATCACTATGTATTATAAATCAAGGTTGCTTTTTAAACATTAGGATTTATTACTCAAAGTAGTATAAATTTACATTATACTAAACATATATTTATCTTTAGGCGTGAATTTTCAATGGGGATTTCAAAACAATTAACTACTTAGTCTTGGAACATTTTGTAGATCCTAGTTACGCTGTCTAACCAGAAACATTTTTTGAAACTATCTACACTATCAGACGATTGTGCTTAATGCGATTAAAGTAGAGATTGTGTACTTCCCATGGCTTATGTAATTCACTGGTTAAAGCCTAAACTCGGTGTGCAAAGGTATCATATGCAGTCTTTCTCATTATGACTCTAACAATTCTAAATTTTCATACTCGGTAACTACTGCTAACAGCCTCTTCCAGTTTTTAATACTTATTAATCACCTGTTATTATTACGCCTGGTTTTTTTTTCTACAAGTGAATAGTTATCTCAAATGTTTTCTTATTATTATTATTTCTTTAACTTTTGAATCAATTCACACGTATTACTTGGAATTTCCGTATATTTTATGGTGTAATCACTTTCTATTTTACAACAGACTACCATATCCATTAACTTAATGTAAACAAAATCATGAAACTCAAGTTGATGATATCGTCAAAATAATAATACTAGAATTTTAACCAGAATTTCGTTCGAATGGGAATCGTTCAATCAGGATACAAGAATATGACATTCTTGCCACTCAGTCAATCAGTCGGTCAGTCAGATGCAACGTAGAATTTCGTACGTAAGTACATCAGTTCATGTTGCCATACCACATCAGAACAGAGATGTAATTGTCAATTCAAATCCAATAGTAGAAGAGGTAGTAAAGGTATTAGAAGTAATCCGAGAAGTTAGGATTAGAAGATATTATTCAAGAAGTATGATTCAGCGAGATAAGTTTAGAAAGTCAAAACTAGAGGTGTTGAAGAATCCAGAAGATTAGGATTTGAAAGAACACAAAGAATAAATGCACCGGCGCCATTGCGAACGATTTTGAGCCATATCGTTCAAGGTCTCTAACCATCGATTATTATCATCTCGCGGACCCCAACCAGGTAGTCGACAACCACCGACGTGACTCAGTCCACTCGTCAATGACTTCATGGATTTCTGCCATGTTTTGGTTTGGCTGCCCCTAACTTTCTTCCAACCTACTCCTACACTACAAAACAAAGCTCGTCGAGGCAGTCGGTGGTTAGGCATACGCAACACATGTGCCAACCACCTCAACTGATGAAGTTTCACCACTTCGTCTATTGATCTGCCATTCTTACCTAGCACCCGATTCCTAATAACAGCGTTTCTCACTCGGGTGTCCCAGGATATACGAGCAATGCTTCGAAGACACCTATGATCGAAAACCAATGACCTACGAATATGTTCTACTCTCACTGGCTATGTTTCACAGCCATAAAGTAAGACGGGGCATTTCGGCCACTAATTTTTAAGTTTCTTTTAATGGTCAGTTTATTAGTCTGAAGCTATGAAAACTTACAACTTCAAGTCCACAAAAATGATAAGGCTGGGATATATCGTCATTTTTAAAATCGAACAATACATATCTTATTCCATCAGTATTTCTCCCCAGTTTGTTAAGCACTTAAATCCACTAAAATATCTTTGTTTAGGCAAATTTTTTCCTAGGAACTGATGCGTTTTTAAAAATAATTTTTTGAAGCATGAAACCTCTCATAATTTTCAAATTTTATCAATTACAAATCAACAATTGACAAACAACATACATAAGTTATCTAAAGAATGTTGTTTTAAGATTAAAAATTTCATCTTCGAATAAACAGAAAAGCTCACCTTGAATAAGGAAAAAATATGTGATTCAATTTCTGCAGAACTGTAAACGAGTTAGTGATAGTGTCTGAATGGTTTGGTGTTCGAACAATGCAGTCAAAAGAATCAGTTCCACTGACTGAATTAATCGTAATTTCTGTTACATAGCAGCTCCCAGTTAGATTACGCTGAGTTTCCGTGAGTGAACTGCAATTTAGCCTAATAAACTAAGAAATAAAACAGCATTAAAATGATCTTTTATGTTGTTCCTAATTATGTGTCATTAAAACGTGTCCAAATGAGGTAAAGCTTTAAAAGCGCTAGTAACTGAAACTTCTACCCATTTGTTATACTGATCATTCAGAGATCAGACGAACATTCTCTGTGGTATTTAGTTTGGAAAAGACCGTATCACCCAGGCCTTTCCCAAAAACAAAGAAATGAAACTAAGATACATCTCCATAAACTCTAATAGCCGCACTCCATAATTCTGAATCATTACAAGAACTTCATACTGTCCCTCTTATAAAACCTCGTGTAATGAGATGTCAAGCCCAAATACATGACCTTTTCAGATCAAGTCTATCTTTTCATTGCATTATCGGAACTTTCGTTTTCGTTTAGTTGTTAAGCAGAGTCTCATTTACGTAATGCAGCGTTGAATGTATATCTCTCGTGAACCGAGATGTTTCATATTTTAGACTAACTACAAATATTTTTAAGACGACAAAGATAACACTTTGTAGTGAGTAGAAAAATAAATATCACCGAGACGACCTAAAAAATTCTCAGATAAGCAGTAATTTCTACCTGTGTTTAGAAAGAACTGTGGATTAAAAGTAGTGACTTAAAACGAGAAAACAATTCTGTTGAAACCAAAGACCATCACTTTTAAGAGCTTTGCTAGGATCAAACTAACCATGAACCCGATTAGAAGTCTCTTACAGTGCGTTGTTATATGGCTCACAGGACTAAGCGTCGCTAGTTAGCATATTCCATAGTGAAAAAACAACCTGACAGAGATTATCGGAGATTAATTTTGAAGAAACTGTAGGAAATTAGTAGTAGGTCTTTTTTATGCCAAACAAACTCAAAAAGCAGGGGATATTCATAGAATGCATCAAAATGTGAAATCTAAGGCACTCTGAAACACAAGAAGCTTATTAAATCTAACCACTTGGTTTCACTTGTGACTTGATCATAGTCTAACCACAGGACTTAAAATTCTAGGGTTCGATCATAGAGGATGTGAAAATCATTCTGTTGAATTTAAAACTGCCTACACTGTTACGAGATGACTGATTTTCATTGATTCCTTAGTTGGATTGTAATTCTAAGAAGCTCTTCGGATAGATTTGTTAACCTAAATTATGCAGCTGAACCAACTTAGAGTTTTCGATATAAAATTACATCAAGTAGAATGCACAGAACCTGAAATCTTATGTTTATTTGAATTTCTGGCACTATGCATTTCATTTACTTACCTTAGCCATCTGATTGGCCCAAAAACGGTTAACATTTGGCCACATATTTTAGGTATATCAGTAGTTATCTAGGTCAATCAGGCCAGAGTACGAAAAAGTAAAACACATTTTTATCAGTGAAAATTGCAGGAGTAATGTCCTCAAGGCATATGTTCAGGTGGTTTATTACTGAATTGTGTGCCCAATACTTATTCGTAAAGTCTTCAACATGATGCCATGAACCCCGCTAATTTCTTTGAATAAGAAGGATACTTAGGTTGAAAAGTTATTAAGTAAAATATGGGGGCGTATGTATTACACAATTCAAGGACAGTTACAGAACGCATAAACCCTAACCTAATGAAAATGATCTAGAACCAGACTTAAAGCTTGCACAATACTCACTGACCAACAAAAAATTGATACAAATCTCAGGAAACCTATTTACGATAAGCATTATAAATACATTATGTGAAAATGAAAATTACTTGCTCTGAATGATGTACAATCAAGTTGTCGTGGTCGGATGGCATAATCCATTGAACCAGGGGTGTAACTGAGTTATTCTTGATGTAAAAATAACAAGCAAGTTTGAGTGGTTTTGAAGAAAATTCATAGACCTCTGGAATAGCTTTCATTTTTTGATGCCAGTAGGGTCTTTCTGATTAGGTTAACAGTAAACAGTTTCAAACAGAATTACCTTGCTCATCTTCCTTCACATCAGGAATAGATTGGTCGTGAATAGCCTTATAATACAGTTCAGGATCTGCAAAAATGCATACATCTACTTTCTATTTACCATCTGCTTTCAGACATACTGAACTGCATTCTTTGGTTTCGTCAGTGGAGTCAAAACATTTGTAGATACCACCGTCTTCCAATCTGAAGTCAAATATTTGCAGTACATTTCTTGAATATAGAACTTTTCCGAGTCTTGAACATGAAACTCATTAACATAAACTCACTTCTTGGTAATTCGAGAAGAGTTCAACGTCCATGTTATATTTGGAGCGTCACAGGCACAGTGTAAAATCCGACTTTCGTAAATTGATTGTGATTTACATTCAAGACCAAATGCACATGTGAGACACATCATCAGGAGACAGTAGCCTACCAAATTACCGACAAATAACATTCGCATAAACATATGAGTGATTACAATAGGTTACTACGCTATTCAACGAAGACATCAAGGACGTTATGGGCACGGAAACATAATAAACAAATGAAAAGTGGCATAGAATGAACCTGTGCGTAACATGTACAGTCAATAAGTAATCATTAGCATGAGGGTTCTCGTGAGACTTCTGAGTTATCAAACTGAACTTTGAATTTCCAAGCACATCTTTGTCATAATACTGTGTTAGGTGGTGATTTTCGTCACTGTGTTTGGGTTTTTGCATTGTTGTCATTATAGTCATTCAGGATACTCAAGTATGACAATATTATTATATCATAGAGGCATGAGGTATTTAATAATTTGGAAGCGATTGAATGTTTCCGAATAAAAATTTCCCATATTTATATAAATGCCACAGATGTCCTGGGCTTGATAACGCTGTTGTCGGTACCACGTGCATAGTCGAGAATCACTAACCTCATCGAACTAGAAATAAGAGATGAAAAAGCCTGGAGGTGGTCGATGTGGTCGATTATATGAGCTAGGCTGACTAGTTCTTGTGAGATATGCGTAGCACTGTATACACAATCACCTAGTGTGGACGCATAACCAAGCAACTCCAACTATAATGTGCCCAGTAAAACTATTAAGGTCAGCATCATTGTCAGAAACCTACAGAACTATGTAAGTAAGTTTCGGAACCCCAAATGGCAAGCTAGTAATAATGACACTCTCGGCTGAATCTGTCGAGAGAAGATTCAATAATCTATCAAGTCACGTAGGTGCTATGAGTGATTACTCAATAACACTCCTCCATTGCTTTTATTGTGAACTTATTAACCTCGCCTTTCATTTAATAGAAGGAACATACCTTATCACAGGTAAGACGCACGCTAACTACCCAAACATAGATAGAAAGAGACAAGCAAAATCACAGGTGGTGTGATTGGACGCGCACTACTCACGAAGGGAAGTGGAAGTATTTTGGTGATTAAATCTTTCTAGTACTGACAAGTATTAACACCTAATAAGTTGACTTTACGGATACAATGACACAAAAATTAAATCTTTTGTGTTTGATGTCTATCAATATGAGGTTTCGGAACACTAATATTTTTAGGTATCTAGCCTTTTTGATTCTATCATTTTTTTTCTGTGCCAGAGGAAATGTTATTTCTCGTGTATACTCACCTAATAATTTAAATGGCCCAAATAAAACATCGTTGTGGTAGACCCTATCGTTTCTTTCCAGTCAATGATGGAATGCAATATGGTAACTGCAAGGATTGGATCTGATTCACTCTGACTGCATAGAAGTGGAGTCAAAAGTAACAACCGCATTGATCGTGGAAAATTTGCTTGTTCACAAAGTCTCGCCTAACTCTTGAGGTCATTGAGCTGCTAAGAACAGCTCTAAGTCTGTCTTCAAATAATCAACTAACAGCTAATAAATGAATGAATTCACACAAGGCATGCATGTCCCTTAACATATCGGACTGAAAGAATGAGAAGAATGTATAAAATGGAACCATTACGCTTGTTTAAAGAAACCTGTAGGATAGGTCAGTTATTTCTCAAACTTATATCTTTCGTTTGTCCCCTTCAAATGATCTCAGTCTACTCTTGTGTTTGTTGAGTGAAGCACACAGTAGAACTTTGTCACCAGCTTTTGCAATTTAGGATGCAACTAGATTGAGGTAGGATCGAAAACACTCAAACTCCAGTAGTGATCATGGCACAGTCAAGTTTAAAATGGTCACAAAAGAAATACTCAGGTGGGAAGAAGATAAGTCTTTTCTTTGATACATCAGGGGAAACCACTTAACCATGATAGAGCATTTCTTACACACCTGATAGCCACAGTAATGGTGACGGCTAACAGTAAACAGTCACTGGCAAACAACGAGAGATATCAATGATAATTCTGCCTTACATAATGTACCTCATGCAAATCACAAACCTGGAAAGAGAAGAGCATATGTTTAGCAGGGCACTGAACGTTTGCTACAGGCAAAAAGAAGAGCCTAGAAGAAGTGGGAGGACTCTCTGAAAAATTCCGACTGTAGTTCCTACTTTGCATTGCCAAACAGACGAAATACCAAGGTTGGAAAAGATAGGAGACACTTTCTGATGAAGCTACCTGCCTAAATACAGACAGATCCAAAATATCTATTAAGCTTCATGACTAAAAGAAAATTTACGAACCAATGTCTTTGTGCCCTCAAATATCTGATAAACCTGAGGTATTTGGCACTAACTTCACTGATCAGGTAAACAAGAGATCCTATACGTTCAGTGTACTGTGCATACCTAGCTCCAGCTGACAGCCTAAGAAATATCCAGTTCACTCCTGGCTTAGTTTTAATTAATTACTTACTTACTTACGCCTGTTACCCTCAATGGAGAATAGGCCGCCCACCAGTTTTCTCCAACCAGCTCAGTCGTGGGCTTCTCTCTCCATTTCTGTCCAATGTTTGTTCATTCCTCTCATATCTTTCTCTATTTCTCGGCGTAATGTGTTCCTTGGCCTTCCTTTTTTCTTTTTGCCTTCAGGGTTCTATGTAACGGCTTGTCTCGTGACGCAGTTAGGTGCTTTTCGTAGTGTGTGTCCTATCCATTTCCACCGCTTCTTCCTGATTTCCTCCTCCACTGGAATCTGACTTGTTCTCTCCCACAGTTCGTTGTTGCTGATGGTGTTTGGCCAACGAATACGAAGTATTTTGCGTAGACAGCTGTTAATAAACACTTGTATCTTCTGAATGATGGCTTTGGTAGTTCTCCATGTTTCCGCTCCATACAGTAGAACTGTCTTGACATTTGTATTGAAAATCCTGATTTTGGTGTTGGTTGAACGTTGTTTGGAGTTCCAGATAATTTTCAACCGTAGAAATGCAGCCCTTGCTTTGCCAAACTCAGCTCTAACATCTGCATCGGATCCACCTTGGTTGTCCAAGTAGTCATAGCAACATTGATAGTGTTAGTGAAAGTGGTAGCTAAGCTTTAAAGCCGGCATGCCAACTATCCCGCAACTCGTCATTAACTATGAATAGTCGGAACATCATTGTGGACAACAATAACGTCAAAGTGGAGGTGAAACCTGATGTATCTACTAATAATAGCGTAGTTGATGTGAATAATAAACGTGACATAATGATAGTGGAATCACTATAGGTAGTGCTGTTTCTTCGGTTGATGTTGCTAATGTAGCTTCTTTGCGTACTTCGGATCGAGACGAAATTGGACGTTTGAGCGTGGAGAATTTAGGCGTCGGCGGCAATAGCTTTAACCACAGTGATGGCAGTACTGTGAGGGCTAACATTCGGTATCCTAGGTGCAATGAGGAGTCATCTAGGTTTGATGGACATGCTGTTGTGTTGAAGATGCAGCATGAGGAAAAGAGCACGGAATAGTCCACCTGTCGCACTCCACCTTGATTGACTTGTATTACAAACTTCGGGATGAGCACTACCAACAGTGATAAGATAAAAGAAATTAAGAGCATTCCTAGTAAGGATAGCAATGTTGATCGAGTGGAGTTAGCCACTGTACATGAGTCGACTGGATGTCATGAGAAGTGTACTACTGCTTGTACGGCTGCGGCTACTAATGATGATAGCATTGATGATACTCCTGCGAGTAATAGTGATCGATGGAAGTTGAAAGGCACTCATCGTCGTCGAAGTGATCGTACGTTACGCTCACAAGCTGCTACCCAAGCTAAGAAGCATAAGAAGCAACATGATGCTACTATTATTAAGAAGCCTAAACTTTGTTCTCTTTCGGATGCTATGACTAGCAATGGAAATAGTAGTCATCAGAATCTTAGTAATGACAGCGATAGTAAAGAGACAGAAAGTGTGAGCAGTCCACCTATAGTGACTAGTCGAACAACTTCATCGAACGAGCCTTCTAGTGTTTCGACGTCATCGGACCCTGCCGCGAATGCTAAGTTGGTTGAGGATACACAAGGTTGTGTAACTGTAACTGTTCCTACTTCGGTCGACTGTCAGTCAAGTGATGATGAGAAGGAAGCGTCTGATGGTAACAGTCAGTCTACAGTGTTGCATGATAACGATGCTATTGATGTGCATATGTCTTGTGTCTCTGAAACGGAACATGAAGAACAACAAGTGAGTTTATCGGTTTTGGATTGCGATACTAATGCTGTTCTTTCATGTAGCGAGATGAGTTATACAACAATGGAAGAGTTTCACTCTACGGATGCTAGTGCAGCCAGAAACGACGCGACTTGTCTGACAGAACGGAATCATGATGACAATGGTTATAATGTGGATGTCACTGATGTGACAAATGAGTTTCCAACGATGACGAATGCTGATCAAACCTCCTCTGTATCAGGAGATCGAGAGATAAATATTGGTCCCATGTTATGCCACTTAAAGTCTTCGGGAGACGAAGAAATATCCAAATTGGAGATCCCACCCTTGCATATTATCTATGGGTCAAGAACTTCTGTTGATAAGTCAGCATCACTGACTTCATTGTATCTGCCGATCGGAGCAGGTGGTGGTGGATTGACGACTCATCCCCATGATATGGAATGTAATTCCCGGATAGGATATGACCAGCTTTACGACGTGTTGTACATGTTCATATGGGTTAATTGGATAAGGTTTATACTACCGTTAGGTCATGCGACGATAGATAGGGTAATCAAGGGCCTAATGGGAAGGTACAGGTACCTAGTTAGCTTGATAGGTCATATCCATGTTGGAGGGAGGATAGGCGTACTGCTGTAAGTCCTACTCGTTCTTCCGGTGTGGATTAGGGGATGAGAGTGAACCCTAAATTGAAGTGTCAGTAAGCGCTTGTCTTTTGCATGGAGGGATTTTGCGGGCCGGCGTAGAATCTTTTTTGAATGTTTTGTTTTTTGGAAAATCCCTCCATGTCTATATATTTGTGTTATGATATGACTGACTATTTCTGTTGACATTTTGGTACCCCATTTGATTCCATTTTGAGATTTTATCATAGTATATTGTTATTATTTCTAC